TAAAAATTAATTTTTCATAACAATTTTATTCAAAATATCAATTATAAAGCTTGCAGTTACATTCTAAATGAACCATAGACTTTAGAATAAGATAGATAATAAAGTTTTAATAAAATAAGTAAACCTTGTTAACTACAATTATCCATTGCGAGCGTTTTTGAGAAATTTTGAATTATAAATGACTGGTAATCCAATGACTGTACTATTATCAAAAAATATGTTAATTTTTGTTATTTCTACCTTCTTATACATTTGATTTAACATATTTATGTATATAGATAAAATACATAAATTAAATATTAAGAATGATAATTATAGTATATAATACGTCTTTTAAATTACAAAAAGAAAAATCATCATATCATCAACAGCCAGTCCACTGCTGGACATAGGCCTCTCCTTAGAAAGGAGGTATTGGCCTACTATAGCCACCACCGCTACCACCACGGTGGCCAGACGGGTTGGTATAGGGTTTGTGTCAAGTTTTCCTTCTCTTTGCAGTGTTTTTGACCTGCGTAGTTTGCTCCCTTAGTCGGCTCTTTCAACACCCACGGGATGAATAGGGGTGGTGACAGTCCCTATTCTTAATCCGTCACCGAAAGGACATTTATATTAATGTAAATTAATATATTTCGTATTAATTTCTCTGTAGAACGAAATTTTGAAGTCTTAAAATATTTTGTTTTAGCCAATTTTTTTGTTGTTTAGTATACCTGTCTACAATAAGATATTGTTTTAGAAGAACTAAATTTTTTGGGTATATTTTGAGAGATCCTAATATATATATATATATTTTTAGATCATCATCATCACGGTTATACTATTGCAGTCCACTGCTGGATATAGATATTTGTCATCTATTATTACAGCAAATGGAAGGTATGTATAATTGGTGTATAGATTATACATGTATTTTTGCGACAAAAATAGCTACTTTAAGGTTTAGTGATACTGTCTAGTACTACATAGAAGGAATATAGAATATCTATATATAAACTATTCTAATATATAGACATAGTACTAACTTATTTGGATATTTTGAAAAATCTAGAAACCAAAAAGAAGATATAATGTTATGTAACTTTCGATCTTCATTGGAAAGTAGGTGCTTACCAATAAGCCGTTTAAAGAAGAATCCAAATATGTACCTATATAATAAATAAATAAAATCAAATAACCTATAATCCTTATATTTTATAGATTGTTGCTTTTATGAAGCCAAACTTTACTAGTGATTTTATTATAAAGCAATAAAATATCTTTATTTTTAATTAAATTTAAATGAGAAAACAAAAAATTAAAGACTGACAACGAATAAAGTATACCTACCAAAATGGTACCTAAATATGTGTGAATATCACATATTATGTAAACAAGCTTTATATATCAAAAAATATACTTATACAAAACTATGACTATATTGTATATTCTTAATCTAGTGATATGTCTGCGATACTGGCGGTTATTTCTGATATATAACAATACATAGCATAATACACAATTAGTACACACAATATATAACGCAACACATTGCTATATTCACTCGTGTGTTCTGATAATTCATCTGTATATCCATAATTACAAATTTCATGTTAAATTATAACATTACGTTTCAAAAATTCAATATGTGTATTTACTTTCGAACACTCAGTGTCAAAAAGATAGACACTTAAACTAAGTCAACTTAAGCGCATTGAACACTAACCATGAACTTATAATGTCGTATATGAAATTATCTGATTGTATTTCTTTGATTTGCGTTTGTCATTTTAATAATAGTGTAACCGTGAAAATTAAAAGTGTAACGATTTTAAATATTGTAATTATTAATCTTAAAGATATCGCTGTCTTTTTAATTTAATATTTTTGTGATACATTATTAAATTTATGAAGATGACATCAAAACACACAGAGTAAAATGAATACATACTTAAAGTACTCTTTGTGCTCACGATCTACTAATTAATTGAATTTCGGGAGAATTTGACACGAAAATTGACTCTAAACTTACAAATACGCGAACAAGAGCGTGCCTTTCATGTCCACTCTGCCACAAACGAGAATATTAGCATTGCAATCATACTCGGAAATAATTTGTCACTCAGAGTACACATGCTAATATTATATCGAATAAATTTTAGAACAGAATGTGTCTTTGTTCTAAAAATAATTGTATTTTTTCTACATCTAAAAAAAATGGAAAGTAGGTAAGATTTTGTGCGAAATTATGAATTTAGTGATGTTCACTACGGACTCTATTGTACTTTGCAGGCTATGTACTAACTGTTAAATTATTCAATTAAATTTAAATTATACCAGAGTTTTAATTAGCAAATAATCAATCTTAGAGCAATTTTATGACAATAATAGTTTTAATAACAAATATTATTCACAATAAACACTTTTTTTTTACTTTATACACACTTTCAATTGACATGTGGGCGCGTCCCTTTTTTTCTTGTACAATTATTTTTAGTTTTTTTAATTTTGACTTTTGTTGTTTAGTCTGCAAAATGTTAATCGTGTCGGTTGGCCGAGGGCTGTGTGATCATTAAATAAAAAATAATTTATTTTATTCACTTACCATTTTAAACTCAAAAGTCTTAGTTATTAGGAGCAATTCTATGTTATAATCACTTGCATTAATTTCGAATTGATACTGTCAGATTTTTAATAATGAATTTAAAAAAAGCGGTTGTCAATTGCTACGTTTTTAATTATATTATTTATTTAGCATTATATTTCTATTCAAATTTTATTTTATAAATTATTTAACTTCCTATGTTAAATTGTCCATGGGTGATAGTTTTATTCGATTTACCCCTATCAAGTGAGTAAGTTATAGTTCGCAAAATGTGTGTTTAAAACACTGTCGCCTACCCCTTTGGTATAGGGGTGCATGTATATTATTCAGCTTAAAGTTTCCAGAGATACTAATGATTACAAATATATAGGTAAATTTTCAGCCCTGGCCACTCGACACCGCCGTACTGTGTGTCTGTTGGTACATATCTACTGAGTAAAGACAACGACAGAAACACATACTAACTACACCAGATATGAGATATTTACACTTACATAAAAATTACTCAAAATTATATCGTATTTATATATTTTATATATTATAATATTATCTTATATTATAATTATAATAACTTATAACTATATGAATCAAAAGATTCTGATATGTTTCGTTACCTTGGTTGCAACTTATCACAAGTTGTCTTAAACTAATTGATATTTTATAATTGATATTTTAAGTTTATATAATTAATTGGTATTTTTATAAAAAGCAAGATATTACGACAATTACGCTAATATTGCTGGTTTAGACACAGTTACTCTAAAAGTGTATTAAGAATTAGCTTCAAAAGAGACGGCTATAATCTATATACAAAATACGAGTATTTCGTAACAATGTTACAGTTACGAAAATACATTAGAGGTTTTATGTACCGAAGTATAGCGTTACTTTCAATAATATACTGTAATAAGGGAGTAAGTGCCAATGTTTTACAAAAAAATACTTTAGGCCCTTATATTAAGTGCTTTATACTGTATCTGTGCATAATCTGTCGAAGTATCTACCTAATATTATTATGTATCTAGTACCTACTGATATAATGTGGCCAAATATGATATAAGTTTGTTTATTTGATAGCTCACACGCTTTATATATTACGCGCTTATAGAAAACACATAAAATTACGGTGACTAAGTGTCTACGATATGAATCGTATTTTCTCACCTGAATCTTTTAGATAAGGTTGAATTTTGTAAATCTTGTACAAAACTTTTGAATGTTATAATTTTATGTTTTCATACTTTGATGTCTTATGATATATTTCGTTTTTATAATATTATATACTATGAGAAGGCATAACAGTTGTATTATATAAGAACAATACAAGGTCAACAAGTAAACAAGGACTGATTATAATAACGCGTTTTGCATTCGTACGGAAGCCAACCACATTTTTTCATTTCTTAACTTTTCTTTATGACACGTTTGTTTTTACTCGTCCTCTTTTCTCTGTTCCGTCTGTCTTGTCGGTAAGAGTCCAGACATAGAATTAACAGCGGATTGTAGGCACAAGTATTACTAGAGCTTACATTCCCACTTTAAGTGCCCGATTGACAATACTGTTGTCCTCTTTTACCTACTATTATTATAATACTAACTTTTGCCCGCAGCTCCGCCTGCATGTATGTTGGTTATTGCGGTAAAAAGCCTATTTACTTTTTCAAGCATCAAACTATATCCATACCGAATTACTTTTTAATCGTTTTGATGGTTATTGAATTCCCATATGAACTTCCACGTTCTTTTTCTCCCTCTTATAGGACGATTTCTGTGATAAAAACTATCCTACATCCTTAATAGGAATGCAAAATATCTCTGTACTAAATTTCATCTGAATCGGTTTAGCGGATAGACACACTTTCGCATTTACAATATTAGTAGGAAAATTACAGTCGACAAAATGAAGGTTTTTAATTCACTTCTAAGTATGTATGTGTTCTTTTTCTGTGTCCCCTTATCTCTGGCTTTTTCAAATGCATTTTTCATAGATCCTAAGTTACTAACAGTGAATGTTAGATCGTCACAAAAGGCGTTATTATCTCAGTCGATAAATAACCTACATTACAAGCACAGCTAATTAATAGACATCTATCTGACAATAAATAACGCGGCGCCGATACAACACGGCTCAGTGATCGAAGTTCTAACACCCACAAACTGCAATGCTATATTCATTTTCAATATAACAGTAATTCATCCTGAACTTTTATTTATACTTTTACTGTTTTGATACAAATTTTCTATCAAAATGTTACCGATTCGTATAATTCATTCCTATTTTTTAAAGTCAGGTTTGAAATGTTACAATGAGAACGAATATAATGTTACAGTATGCAAGTCTAACCCAATGGTACATTTATAATTACACAACAAGTAAATTCAAAAATATCGACAACAACACTAATTTTGGAGCGATTTAGAAACCTTGCCGGAAAGGATTCTTGATTGCGGGCTGTGGGGCTGGTGCAGGAGCAGGAGCAGCTGCAGGAGCAGCCGCGGCACCTGCTCTGAAAGGGTTGCTAGCTGTTGGTTGAGGTTGAGCTGGTAACTGCCGCGGCTGGTTGTATTGCTCCTGATAACCCTGCTGTTGGTAACCTTGTTGCGGTTGTTGCTGCTGATCATATCCTTGCTGACTGTAGTCCTGATACCCTCCCTGATAAGATTGGTCGTAAGAGTATCCGCCACCACTAGTATCCACATTTGACTCTTGAGTTTCAGAGGCCACCTGTCCAGATACGTTGGAATACTCAAGGTGATTTTTATATTCCCCATTAACAGGCCTCTGATCTTGTAAGCTGTATGTCTGATATTCTTTCTCTGGTGGGTCAGACATTAGGATGTTGGCTTCATCTTGGAACGGCTTGAAGTCATAAATATGGCGTAAATATATCAAGACCGGCGCATACAGGAGGTTGCTGAAGGCTATCATTACATTCAAAGCTGTGAACCCAATTACTTCAACGATTTCACCTGCGATGATGGGACCAACAGCATATGCGAAAGAGTAGGATATATCAGCAATAGCGTAAATGCTACCGTAGACAGACACATATCGTACGTCTACTAGATATCCCAATGTAGGAAGTAGAGCAGTATCAATGAGAGCAATCCCAAAACAGATACCGCAGATAGGTATCATCAGCATTTTATAGGAATTTGCAAAAGGTATAATGAAACAGCACAAACCTTCTAGAGCCAATCCTCCGGCTGCCATTAACCACTGATGCTGAGGATATTTTCTTGCCATTTTTACTGTTATGATCACTCCAAGAACGTGAGGGAAAAAAGCTGGCAACCAAATCATGCCAATCTTCCAGTTATCTTTAGTCAGATTATCCTCCATCCAAAGGGAAATCGTCGGTTCCAAAAACGCTAACGCTACGTTTGACATCATGAGAGCCCCTGCACATACGGCGATGTAAGGATCCATCAACAGTTTCCAGATGGGTGTACCAGCAGGTTTAGGTTGCTGGGCTTCTTTTAGCTGTGTTTTTAAAGGTTTCATCACGAGCAATAGCATAAAACCATCTATTAGCGATATTAAGGCCAAGATTAAAAAAGGAACCTCCTTACCAGCAAACTGATACAAAGCACCACCAAAAGGCGGGGCGACCAAACATCCAAAACTGATGAACGCCAGGGCAATACCCAAAGCTTTAGATCTCTCCGCTTCCTCAGTAAATCTGTCGGCAATCATAGCTAATCCTGATGTATCAGCAAAAGCGGATCCAACTCCTTGCAAACTCCTCGCGAAGAACAGCATTCCATAACTGCGACCACATGCAAAGACTGATGTAGAGAGAAACATTATAACCAGTCCAATCATCATGGGTATATCGTACCCGATGCGGTCGATTAAGGCACCAGAAAAAGGGTTGACCATGAGTTGAACGATAGCCTTCGAAGCGAACAAAACGCCTGTCGCTGAATCTTGCCCCTCATGAGACCGAGGGATTATCATTGTGGGTGTGATAGTTTTATTCCCTTCTTGGTAGGGTGCCAGAGTAACTACATGGTCATAGCTGTCTTCACCCCACGCACCGATATACCGCAGGTAGTCAGGGATGATCGGTACTATTACCATGTACAACATGTTGTCCAAAAGCAGTGCAATGGACACTATGACTAATATGATCTTTCTCTGGTTTGTAGGCTCTTGAATCTTCTCCCATAGTATTTCCCGGACTTCGCGTACCTCGAGGTTCACAACCGGGATGACCGAGTTGTCTATCCTCTGCCAAATGGACTGTGGTCCCTCCGCCATCTTGAGTTATTTTTAAAACGGTTGTAAAGTATTCTATCTATAGTGGGATCCCGAGTTCATCTTCTGCGGAGGGTTAGGTGTCCCTCCAGGTAGTATTCACTTGCGAGTCACACATTTACGCGTGGTCCGTCGGCGCGACACTCTTATGGGAGTTCGGAACCTGACAACAAACAGAAATGATCATTGTATTATCATTTCATGACAATAGGGGGTGCGCGCGGATATGTTCAGCGCGGTGAGGGGGAAGCACGGTATGTTTCAAAAGGATTGTGAGTCGATCTTTGTTTCTGTTAGTTGTCGTTCCTCTGTCCCGAGCGGTTTGACGAAATTGACGATTTGATTTGATGATTTCCAAAGACGATTCAGAGTCCTTTTGAACGTAAGAAATTACTACTGGATTAATATAGACACATATCACATGTAATCTTTTTATAAATAATGCAAGTGTTATGAATATCTGTTTTATTAATACAAGTAAGTATATTTGCATTTCTAAAACAGATATTCACAGAAGTCAAGACCTGTATTTATAATTGTAGCATTAAATGGTTATTGGTCTCAATGGTCATTCATCATCTCAACTGTTTTATAGCGCCTATATAAAATTTGTCATAGCATACAAAAACGTAGACCATTTTTATGGCAAGGGAAATACTTATAAGCCTTTGAAAATACTGCAGAATACTGCAAAATGCTCGTAAGTATTTTGTAATTTTTCCAGAATTGGAAAAACTGCCAATGAAATTTTCTCGTCTGCAAATTTTGTCTAAATGATTGACATTTTCCTTCGCCTTAGTTCCCAGCGAGTAATTGTAACGAGTTGTTTAGCCCAAATCCAATTTGCTGGGGACCCCAGAACAACCGTCGTTACCGAAGGGGGCCCATCGTAAGGGTCCCGTCTACCGTTTATTTAAGTAACGATGCCCTATTAGGATTGACACGTTTTCTTGTCAAGATGTAAAACTTGGGTGTTTAATATAAACAATTGAATATTATAATCACATCTGTAAATTCTTAGTTTAATTATTTTTAAATAAGTTGAATTTCGAAGAATTGATTACTTAGATGTGAGGTTCTGTTGAATAATTTGCAACACGCAGAAACACTTCTCCTTATACTGTGTACAAACCCTTATAAAACACTATTACATACCCGCGGCTTGGTTTGCATTACTGACAATTTTTCTAAGATAAACAAACTATCGTATTTATAATAGTAGTAAGATATTCTCATATTAGATAAAAGACAAGCAGTCATCTCTAGTGCAAACAAAATTGAAAATAATTAAGACAGACACTACAACAAAACTATGAATAAATGTCATTTTTTTTCAATAGCAGAATCATCTTCAAATCTCTCACAAATGAATTAAATATTTATTTGATATCTTTATAACGGCTAAATACACTTTTAAATTTGTCTAACAAAAAGACTTCACTCAATTCAGCTTGGGAAAAAAGAATGTACCTTTTAACCCAATCTCAAATACTCCACGGCTTCTTACAGACCTAAAACTTCTTTCAATTGTATAAACAAACCTAGATGAATTTCATTTACATAAATAGAACGGCAAACTCACATGGAAATAAGTTGAACATTTGCTCAACTTATTTCTATTTCAGAGCCGATCCAGAGTTTATTTTAAATAGTGCCTAATCATTCCTGTACAGAAAAATATGAGTCGGGTTACATTTATGTCATGTCTTTTGGTGTCAAATTGTAAGTGCCAGATGTTGGTAATGGATTACGCAAAAAGCGCTTTTCGGCGTATTGTGAGAACGATGTTTACTTCAAACAGCTAAACATTAATTTCTTTTTGCCTTTATTTATTTATATTTAAGATATCGCACAAATGGCTGGCCGGCTCTATGAATTTTTTCAACCTAATGTTGCCATCCATTTAATGCTTTTGTAGTGAACTTGGTCAGCCAGAATTTGTCAATGCTTTGGATTCTGTAAGAACTGAATTGTAAGAGTAGGTAATATCGTGGTGGTGATGAGGAAAGAAGGAGGTAGTTCTTAATTGAATTAGGCTGTATTTTTTTTAAACCGATTTAGAAAAAACATTTTAAGTATGGACGATATACTTTTATTTTGGTCCCATTCAGAGTTAAAGAAAGGATTTTTATTACAATCTATCATGACGTGGGAGCATTGAAGTCGGTGATGTTTTAACAGTTAATTTATAAAACACATTTCGAATTTAGTCGTAAGTCTTTTTCTCCTTTTTAAAAAGACCAACTAGGAATATATATCGTCGCGGGGGACTTTACAAACATACACAAAATTTACACAAAGAACACCCAGACTCAGAACAGTATCAATTTATAGATCAGACAGAAAAAATCGGTTGTCTGTAAAGTCGGTTTACTGACGATAGTTGAACGTGACAACGTCATAAGAAAATACTGATGGAATGGTTGCATTTTTCAAAAATGTATTATTGTATACGAGTAGCAGCTGTCCACGCGGACGCATCGCTCACTCAAGTAGGAGAGAGACAGATATCGAACGCTGCCGAACGCGGAGGCCGATTGTGCCTCTTTGTCGCTCGTTCCGCGCTCTCGCTTGCACTTCACGCCTTAAATGGAACGCCTCCGAGCGAGGTAACGCCGCATGAGTCATGTTTTTTCGTGCGTGCAGCCGGCTCCATCGAATTATAAGACGTTGTCACGTCAAAAGTAACAGTCTCGTGTGAGGATCGAATCCATAACACTCGATGCAATAGGGAGCGTAGTCTAACAAGCTACTCGTAAATATTTCTTAACCTTGCCTAAAGAGCGATCGGCTACGATAGCACAGATATTAATAATTTTAAAAGGCTTCCCTTTGAAACATCAGACAGACCCTTCAATCTACCTGTTCATCAGAAAAATAATCTTTTGAAGCCTTGTCAATACTTCCTTCCTCACTTTTGAGATTGGCTCGTTAAGAAACCAAAGAGCAGAAAATCTCCCCGGTAAGCCATCGGACGGTGCACGGAATTTCAATGAGACGAAAAATATCTTCAGAAAGTGCTATGCTAATATATATAGAAGATTAGTTTATTAGGTAACAGTGTCGTGAATGTAATTTTCGGGACTTCAGGTTCTTTGATTTAATGTTACGTGTCGGCCGATGATTTATGTTAAAATTAAAGATGAATATTTTATTCGTGAAGTAGTATGTAGTGTTTATGTAGCTTTACGCATTAACATCTATAATATTAGGTCTTTACCTATGAAATTGCCGTTTCGTATGGAATAAGTGAAAGTACTTATTTTTTCAAACTTTTTTATTTCTGTTATTCGAAGTAATCACCCATGCAATCGACGCATCTTTGCCAACGCATTGGCAGTTTCTTGTAAAAATCAGCTGGACGGGAGGCAACAAACTCTTCAAAGACATTTTGTACTGCCTCTCGGGAATTGAATTTTTTACCCACTAAAAAGTTGTCTAAATTTTGGAAAAAGTAATAGTCGGTAGGTTCAAGGTCCTGCAAGACCTATTATGTATGTAATTAGCATTATTAAATATTAAAGTATGGTTATTTAGAAATGTATGTGCCTTATTTACGACAATATGCTTGCTCCCTGTTACGAACTTGTAAGTGGAACTGTATTTATATGTATAGTCGGTTGTAAAATGTGGGCGTTTGAAAATGCTTCTATCCCTTCTATAAAGACGGTATGTAAATATTAACTTATAAATCAGAATAATTGTCCCTGATTATGATGAATTACTATGAGTTCTATCAACGTGCCTAACTGTAGATAATGTACTGTAGACATCAACAGCCTTCAATAGTCCACTACTGGACATAGGCCTCTCCTTAGAAAGGAGGTTTTGGCCTACTATACCACGCTGGCCAGACGGGTTGATATAGGGTTTGTGTCAAGTTTTCCTTCTCTCTGCAATGCTGTTGTCCTGCGTAGTTTGCCTCCTTAGTCGCCTCTTACGACACCCACGGGATGAATAGGGGTAGTGCCATTTTATATTCTTAATCCATCACCACACGGACTTACAGTTTATTACAATTCATCATAATAATGGCGCATTAAAAGAAGTCATACATTCTTTAAAGTTAATCATGTTTTTATGTTTTAAAACTAGCTTTAGCCATAATGCACATACCTCTTGGTTTATTCTGCATCTTAGTTGTTGTCTTGGAAGGAAAGCCGTACACATTAAGCACGCACATGTACCATGTACATAAAGCGAAAATAAATAAATGAATGTGATTGCGCCAGTAATTTACTGAGAAACGAATCGATTTACTCTTTAATATATTCATATACGTAATCCACCGATTATGGCGTACCAGGAAGTAATAAACACAGAGAAAGTAGTTACTTAAATACTCAGAATAAATATACTTCTTGGAAACATTGGGTCAAGGCTGTGTCGGCATGGGGTCATGGTAAGGCTATAACGTGTAGTTAGGTATAGGCCTAGTTAAAATACTATGGTGTTTTTATGGTACAGGAGCAAACGAGCAGGCGTTGACAGCTGCAACTCAAGATACGAGAGTGTTGCACCCTTAGGTGAGTCCTCTTAAAGTTAGGGGTGTTGGGTCTCTGACCCCTACACACATTTGCTTAAAAGCAAGGAAATTTATTTAACTCTGTTTTCTTGTTTTCTATGAGGCCGTGATATCACTGGTCGAGCTGGTAAATTGCAAAGTATAAATGTACATGGTACTTACGTAACCAAAAATCTTTATGGTGCTGATAACATAGGCCATTCACTCTGTAAACCAGTGTCTCATCAAAATTACTGTCTAGATGAAAACACTTGATGTTAGAAAAGTTTACCATCAAATTTATATGAGGTATCCTTTATAAAGGTATCCTATACCAGGGCTGCAATTCCCAGGCGCTGTCGAAGTCGCATGTGTGCCCCCTATCTATCACGCGATGGGCCCGCACAGTGAATCAACGGAACGCTAAGAAATAGGGCTTTTTCATTTACTTCCCTAATTATAACATTTGAAAACATTTCTGTCTGTCACAGAGTTTTTA